TTTTTTTTTTTTTTTTTTTTAATTGTCTATATATCTCATATTGATTTTTGTTAAAAGAGAAGATATAAGAATTTTAATATAGAACATGTATATAACTTTTCTCTTCTTTTTAGTCAATGATAAATCGCTTTTTTGTGTTGTTGAAAACGTTTTTTGTTTATTAAATTTACTATATAATAGTTTTATATTTTACTGCCTTGTGTAGACGACGTTAGCTGGCGTCTGCTGGTTAGCATAAAGGGCGGCATTTGGACCATCATCTGAAAAGCAAACCAATTTATAATTTGAAGCATTAGCACTGAAAGGGAAGTGCTCACAGGTAATAACCGGTCGGAAACCGTTGCCATCAGCCACATATTTGACACCGACACGAAGACCTTCTGGCGATATATAGGAGTAGGCGCCTTCCACTTGCTCCTCCTGCTGGTCGTTGCCAATGTAGACGGGCGCGGCACGCTCCTCTCCGTGAATGCCATTCTCCGTCTCGTAGCTGTAGGCATAGGAGCCAGCGCCAGTGTTGGGCTCATTCGACTCCTCGACGGTGCGTGCTAGAGCACTGGCAATATACGGATTGTATTTCTTGAAGAACTGGTCGTAGTAGAGTCGCTGGTTGTACAGGTCGCGGTTCCTGTAGTACAGCTCCCTGTACCGGGGATTGTCCAGGAACGGATTGTACTGACGCTGTGCATTGCAGGCCACCAAGACGAGGGCCAACACAAAAAGGCAGCAGGTCTGTATGAGAATGGATATGCATATATATACACTATTAAATCCCTTTCCAGTTATACACTTTGGATACTCGATGAGTCGAAGCTTGATTTACCAATTTCAAAGACATGTTGGATGCGACTAAAGGTCTGCTACTTCGACGTTGATCTATAAAATCAAACTGTAACGGAGAAGAGCTCGACAGCAACATTTATAACAATGTGTGCCCCCGTTTGCCAATAGCATCAAATTTCAGACCATAAAATCTTTATATTCGGTCAACGCTCAGCGCTGAGCATTGCCAAATAAAAATCCAATCTCAGCTGAAGTGAATATTGGCTTTATTTTTTGGCTTGTTAATTTCCGCTTAGAATTTTATTGTTATTTAAATTGAGAAGCTATATCAGCGCATACCCTGCATTTGAGGTAGAAACTAATTAGTTAAGACTGCCTAGAAACTAAGTTATTTAATAGATATTTTACATAAATGTATTATATATCTGCTTTGCAGGGTATCTGAAAAAACAGCTCTTACAGCTTGGGTTAAGTAAATATATAAAAATTAAGATCAGTTTGGCTTCATATCGGCGGTTGCGCAGGAAATCGGTTGGTTAAACCAGATGCCAGAGCCACGCGAGAAATTCAAATCTTTCGGCAGGCAGCTAAAGAAATCGCATGGCCAAAGGGGGGGACTAAGTTATTCAGGGGCTCAGGGTAAAGGAAATAAAGGTAAAAATGAATCCGAATTTTAGCATATAAATATTAACAGTCTACTGATTAGGCAGCATTCTGATTAAATTGCAAATTTCATAATTCGAAATTTGAGAAGCTGCTTAATTAAAATGTAAATTAGCATTGCGAATTTTCAGTCAAATATTTAATAAAATATAATATTTATACAAATATGATTACAATGATAAAGGCTATAAAATATGGCTCATATTTAGCCAATACAAAATATTTGAATGGATGAATCCGCATTTGACTCGATACCTTGTCAACTTTTTAGTACAAAGACAACCTGAATCTGACTTAGAAGTTCCGTAACATTAAGATTATATATGTATATACAAATTTGTTTCCCACTTATCGAGAATTAGATTTTTGCTAAATAACTTTGTATCTCATATATCGACAATTTATTTTAATAAGTTATTATTCTCTAGCTGTTTTCTCCCTCTTGGCTGGCTATACCTTTCTTCCCGCAAGTCTCTTTCTCAAACCAAGATTCTTCTTTGATGAAGCATTTTCAAAATTGTAGACTTTATAAGAAAGCAAACAAACTTCCTCCCATTAATTATCATTAAATGAACAAGAGACTTGAGAAAGAGAAGAGACAAATGCACAATACTTAACGATATTCGAAATGAAATGTGTCTACAATAATCAGATAAAACACCTAATTTTAAACATTTAAGCATTCCCAAATGAAGATGTTTCAATTTGAACTGAATACCAAATTAACTACTGTAGCTGATATCATAAGCGAGATTAAAGCAAATTACATTGATAAATTACTAATGAATGCCTTTAAATTGCCATGAACATAGCACTCAATGAATGAGTTGGTTACTGAATGAATGAATAGCGGCARAGTGAAGGGGCAAGTGGAGGGGAGCGCAGCTCGTGTTGCCACTGCAGTGGCCTTCACATTTTGCATGAGGCTGCAACAATAGGTGGCACAGCAATTGCAACAGCTCTAAGCTCTCAGATGCTGAGATACTGAGATGATGATGCATCGCGCGACCCAGAAGCAGAAACTCGTCAAAGCGGAGACAAATATAAGCAAAATAATACTCCTTCTAGGTCCAATACCAGCTTTGCATATCAAAGACTATAAATTCGAAAATCAATCTTAAATCAGATAGGAAGAGATTTTATTTCACATATGCCGCGCGTATCGTTGCGTATCTAAATCTATGTGATCACCATTTGTCAAGATTTTGGTAATTTTATGGTAGTTATTCGAAACTCGATTCGTGGGCAAGGCGGAATGTGTTAAACGGATTAGCCAATGCTTTGGCCAAAACAAACAAAGAGTTTTATTAGCCCATTTACATAAATGAGTCGTTGAAATATTTTTTTAATTAATTGGCTGGGATTTATTTATGATTTTTAGAAGCATCTCTGAATATTCATTGAATAATTATGCATTCTATAAATTTGAATTAGTCGTCTCTTTGAATGAAACAGATTCGCTTTATCTTAATATATATGTATATGCATGATCCGAATCGAAAAAATTTATGCAATTTTAAACTTGATTCAGATAACTGAATGAACATCGATTTTTACTTAGAAAATTTAAATTACAATCAACTTGTCTACATTTTGGATATATAGCCTGATAATGTGCTACCATTTACCAATTTAGCGACAAATATAATTGAGTAAAATAATTTAGTAATTAGTTCATAATTATATTTGGAATTGATAATTGCCAATTGAGTATTCCATAACTATAAAATATTAAACAAAACATTAAATATTTATTTGAATAACACGACGGATAATTAAACACCTGACAGTGGGCCTAGTATAAAAGGAGCCAAGTGAAGCCAGCTCTGATTAGTCACATAGTAAAAGTCCTGAAATGAGAAACGTTGAATCAGAAGTCCAGCGAAATTACGATGATTTTACTTACGTACCGAATCTGATATTTAAGTCCATTGGCTACGACTTTCTGGCCACATCGAAGCCCACATGGCAGGATTTCCTGCTGCGTATCTATTGGTTCCTTGGCTTTGCCAGCCAATTGTATATGTTTTACTACTTGATCTTGCGCACCATCGAATGGGATACTCTGGCTGGGAATCCTACCATCATCATGCGATTCGGAATAGTCTACTTCTTTGTGCTCAACGCCGATGTCAAGTTGATTATATTCATGTACCATCGTCGACGACTGCGCAAGCTGAATGAAAAGATGCGCTCGATCTATCCCAGCGAAGATGCGGAGCGTCGAGCCTACCGACTCGATGAGTTTTACTGGCCACGCAGTGCCCGCTATGGCGTCTATTACTACTACTTTGTGTTCTTCTTCGTTATGGCCAGCCCCATTTTACAGTCTGTCGGAATGTATCTCTATGAGCGCTCAACCTCGCACGGCGAGATCAAATTCGCCTATATAAGTACATATCCCGTTGAGCGCATCAAGACAATGACTCCCCTTTGGTATGTGTTCAGCCAGGGCGTGGATATTGTGTTTTCGCTCTTTATTATGAATGTCAGCCTGGGCACCGACATTTGGATGATGTGCATCTCGGGCCAGCTGAGCTTGCACTTTGACCACTTGGGCAGACGATTGCAGAGTTACAGTCCGAGCAGACAAAACGGGCCAAAGGATTGCGAATTTTTGGCCAGCATTGTACGCAAGCACCAGCTGTTATTCTTGTGAGTTTTTCAGATAAATGATATACCAGAATATATATATAAAATATTTACTTAATGTTAGACTACATAAGGAACTCAATGATATATTCGGCATGTTGTTGGCCTATAATATATTTAGCACGGCCATCACACTCTGCTGCATTGCCTTCTACACATTGTTACAGGGCATAACTCGGGAGGGAATTGGTTTCTTTTTGTTCTTCATCAGCATTTCCGCTCAGTTCTATATGGTTTGCTACTATGGCCAGCTACTAATTGATGTGGTAGGTCCACTCACTTATGTTCTATGTTATTTATTATGATTGTTTCTCCTTATACAGAGTGAACACGTTGCCGTGGCTGCCTACACCCAGAATTGGTATAACGGCTCGTCAACCTACCAGAAGCACCTGCTCCTCATCATGCAACGAGCGCAGAGGCCAGCAGAGCTCTCAGCAAAAGGTGTCATTATTATATCAATGGAAACATTCACGAGTGTAAGTTGTTGACAGCATAACATCTTGTATAATACTAAAAGTTACCTCAATTCCCTAGATGATGAACATAACATATCGATTTTTTACGCTTATACGCAGAGTTCTTCTTGTTGAAACCAGAAGTTCCATTTAGGCTCTATACTTTATAAGACATATGCAAAATATATAAAATATTCGACTCTTAGACTATTACAGACCAAATGTTGTTTGATCGGTCTTTAAACAGCTGCCCTGACATTTCAATCAATTTGCATTAAAATCACATTATTTAAGATTAAAAAAATTGCATTCGCCCCTGGCGCAACACCTCGAGAAGAAGAAGACGGATTAGCATTAATTACCATCTCAGGGTCATCTTGATATGCAGTTGTTACACTTATATCCGCACTAGAAACCGTCCCTTGACCATGACAGCCTCGACTGGGACTCGTTCTTGAAGCTGTGCTTAGTTCTATTCTGCAGTAGCTGAAGATTCTTGCTGTGACCCAAGCCACTGACATTTACACAACTCGTTCCACAGCATCAACAATGATTCGCTTGTGTAAGGAAAATGCTAAAGCATTATTATATTGAATTATTATGTATATTGTGATTTTTTATTTAAGTCTAATTAAATTTGTATTCAGTTTTTGTTCACATCTTCAATAATTCTTCAACCTTATTAAGCAGAATTGTAAATAAATTAAATATTAATTTTCCATCTTAAAGAATGAATGACAAATCCATTTTAATATTAAAAAATTTAATGATAATATATTCTCTTAATATGTAAATATTTTTATTTTTCCTCTTTAAATTTGAATATAATTTGATTGGGCATATTACGAATTGTTCTGTAAGTCATAAAATCCCCATATATGTCTGAGTTCTAAGCCACAAACGACTTGATGAGAATTCAGAGGAGGGGTGCGGGTGGCACTAGCCATTGCGCTTTTGGCCTTCACATTTCGCGTGCGGCTTGACAGAATTTCAACCAAGTCAAATTGTGTGCAACAATAGCTGAGATTGCAACACCATAGCACAGCACAGCACAGCACAGTAGCTAAATAAAACTCGAATACTATAGACCCAACTTACTCACGGGTAATTATAATAGAGATTCCCATTGACTCCAATATTGAATATTTAATCAATAAGAGGAACTAAAGGAGCCACAAGTAATTTAAATATTGAATAAGTAATATTTTATATATTATTAAAATGAAAACCCTTAAAACTGTCCCAATTTCAAGCATAAGACCTAACACCTATTTTTTATTTAATTGATATTGAGCATCGAGTTTCTATATTTGAATAACAAATTCTAATTTCAATTCAATAGACATAATAAAATTGTATTGCCTACAAATCGAAATGCGAGCCAGCTCTGCTGTTGATATATTTGATATTCTGTATAATTAACACTAATTGCCATTAAGTATTCCTCCCACACACTCGACGCCCACTCGACACGCTGTGAGTTCCACTGACATATAACATTTATGAGTTGATTTGCATAACGAAGACTCACCTTCGCCTTCAGCGTGCCAGCCAAAGATGCACAGACGGATTAACATCAATACGAAGAATACGAGGCGGGCTTTGCTTAATGCCAGCCCAAAGTGCAATCTGTGCATAGTTTAGCATAATTTAGAGCCAATCTGTTCTAGAGCGATATCACCTACAAGTTCAATATCTTTCATTGAGGCACAGAGCTGTAATTCGAGCTGACCAGCACATGGAGCTTGGCCTAACTCCTTGACCATGAATTATTCCCAGTGTTCATTATATGTAGTTCGACTGCTCTGCTTAGTTGTACCAGATCAGAGCAGAACCTAACTCAACTCAGCTCGGCTAGCAGTAGCCAGAGATTCTCGACATGACCAAAACCACTGACATTTAAGCACAGCAACTGGTTCGACTGCTGACACGGCATCTGCTATTTGCAATTATTTATTTATGCCTGCATTGACATTAGCATTAGCATGGCTGCTGCTGCTGCTGCGGCGGCGGCGGCTGCTGCTAAGCGGGCAGAGATGGGCGCCGAAAACTATGCCGGCCATGTTCGGCCGTTTAGGTCTAGACGAAGTCGAGCCACGCCACTTTGGGACTCTTACGCAATGGATTATCAATAGTTGTAATAATTTTTCGAAGCCACCGGGGGGTGCGAGCAGTGGCTTTAAGAGCTATAACAAATTGCGTTTGACGCCATAAAAAAAGACGACACGACCTACAAGGCCAACCAGACGTAGCCATAAAGCGCTGCACAGCGCGTGTCAAAGTCAGTGGATGAAGATGGAGCTGCGGTTGCAGCTGGAGATGAGGCATATGTTCTAGGCTTTATGGCCAGCCGGCCAACTGACATTTTGCAGCAATTGCTGCTTGAATAGCTAATTAGAGAATCCATGCGTAATAATTCAAGGTTTATATTTGCCAAAAAATATACACTTTAAAGTATTAAACAAGTTGTTGTTTTTTTTTTTTTTTTTTAATCAAAAGACTTAGGCAACGAACTTGCTAGCTGAGAATCTTTTTACGCTAAATGGGAAGATGTTGCTATTGCGTAATTCAAAATAAACCCATTAAAAAAGACCATAATAAATATTAAAATTAATGCAGTTGAATGTCTTCATAATTATAAAGCGCTGCCTAACACTACTCAACGGGCAATAACAATAGACCAGGCCCCAAAAACTAGAAGGCAGCAACTTTTTCAAAGCTTCCACTAACTGGCAATTGTTTTGCTGATTGCCACAGTCTGAGCACAGCAATAGCAACAAACACTACTTGGAATACAATATGGCAACAATCTTTGGGACAATCTTGTCACGAAATTCTGTCGCCGTCTGCGCTTGTGTCCCCATCTGCCTGCCCCAGCGCCAAGTCGACCCAAGCTATTCATTAGACGCGCCTACACTTTGGCAGCAACAGCAGCAGCAGCGACGTCGGCGGCGGCGTCGGCGGCGTTCGTTGTCGGCTCTTCGCGTTTAGCAATTTTTGGCATTTTGACCCCAGCACAATGCATACAGACGTGTACCAAGACAGACCAACGACATGCCCTGAGCTCGAGTTTGGGCGCACCGTGATCTAAGATCGAAAATTAATGTGAAGGAAATAGTTCGCATGAAGCTAACAAAACTTACAAAACAAAGCATGCTAATTGAATTCCATTAAGTTAATTTATAAAATAAAAAGTTCTCTTTGTTCTTTAATAAACCATTTATATTATATGGCAGCTGTAATATTTTAAATTCTTTTTCAACTGAGCCCAAGAGTTAGGTGTTTATGGAAGACTGCAAACCTGTTTTGAACCTAAGGTGATTCAGATCCGGAAACTAAATTAGTTTTGCCTAAAATTAAACTAGTTATGCCAATTCGAAAGTTGAAATCTGGGGAGCATTTGATCTGTGCAATTCATGTAGGCTTTATCTAATTTTGTGAAACTTTTGTCATAATTGAATTATTATATATTAATTATAATTTATGTTTTGCCCATTCTCAATCTCATTTTATGCGCTAAAAACTATTATTAATCCCACTGTGCACATGCGCTGTCGACGCTGCCTGACTTTGATTGTATTCGCCGATTATTAGCCACGTATTGAAATGCAATTTTTTCGCTTTTTCGCTTGCCCAAACTTAACCAAGAAAAAAAAAGAACAACCTAAATTTAAGCTCTGCAGTCTGCTCTAGGCAAACTAACAATGCCGCGAGGGCGATGTCGTCGATTAGTGAGCTGCTTTATAGTTTCCGCCACTGTTTGATGCACCTGCCGTTGACAAACGAGCTCACATACCTGTTGATATCTCATATATCTCTGTTGCGGCTATTTGCTATGTGCTTATTATGACGCTGACCAAAGGGCGTGCTGCTGATGTAACTGTAGCTGCTCTGACTAGGGGAAATCAATGCAAAATCATTTATACGCAATTGCATAAAAAATGTTTTGCATTTCGTTCTCAATTGCACAGAACAGCTGAGTCGGACAGGCCAGAGGCGTATGCCCAGAGGGGTTCGCCGGCGGCTCCAACGGTTTTCACTCACCTGTGCTGCGCTTGCGATTTTCCAGCGCAAATGTTGTCGTCGTTGTCGTTGCCGAATGCAGCTGCTGCGGCTGCTCTTTTCAAACAACGCCAGCTTCGACTGCGACGCTAGCGCTGGCAGCACCAACAACTACGACGAATCTTTACTTTAGTTTATATATATAT